GAATGAACTAATTTGGTGCTCGGATTATAAAAAGATGGTTAGGGTTCAAAATCTTATGTCGGTGGAACTCGAGCCTGCGATGTCCCAGGAGAGGGCAAAGATCCGTACCACTCCGGTTGCGTCCCTTTTTGGTGTCAACATACGAAACCCGCTGCATATTATGGTGATGAATTGCGGAGAGAGAGTTAATTGACAATGCAGAGTCAAACCGTAAACTGCAGAGTCAAACTGCCTCTTGCTAACATAAGGAAAATATGTCAAAAGGGCCAACATGTGCATCAGCATGCCCATGTTAACAGACCACGTCAACATCAACACACCCTACAACATGGTCACGTTGATGACAACGTCAACAAAAATCAAGGAGTTGTCAAAGGGTCAACGTGGGCAAAAACTTGGCCATGTTCGCAGACCACGTTCATGACAACACACCTAGGAACATGGCCATGTTCATAAACCATGTTGAGGTCAACACACTCTGGAACATGGCCACGTTGAAGACCACGTCAACAAAAGTCAATGAGCTTTCAAAGAGTCAACGTCGGCAGCAACATGGCCATGTCCGAGACCACGTCCACATGAACACACCTTTTTTTGTTATAAGGATGATATATATTAAATTAATAATTAGCGAAAAAAGAAATAAACAGGTCGAAATAAGGCAGGAACAAAGCAGAAAACAAACACAAGGAAAAACAGAGTAAATATACAGGAAAGAGAAGCAAGTGGCAAAAGACTAAAGGAAGGGCCCTGGAGTGAAACTGGAAGACCCTTGCAGGGACAACAAACGAAACCCCAAGGAGACAATTAAAAGTTTCGCAGGTAGGCAAAGGAAAACGTCAAATGCTTCATTCGCCTAACTGGGGGGGGAGGGTTGCCTAGACCTGGGAATCAACCTACTTCACCCAAGTTTCGACCACTTGCTTGTCGACTTTCTCTGCCGCGGACACCCATCTTGCGATTAGGCATCAAATACGAAAGGATGTGACTTGAGGGGAAGCTTCCTCCCCATTGAAAATTCTGGAATTTCTTTCCAGCCATAGAGTCCAACAGTAGCGTGTAGGAAAACCTTAGTGCACCACTGCCAGGGGCTGGATTGCTTTTGACAATACCACCGCTTGATCCTTGTTGAAATATCGTCATTATCACGAGTATTGCTTTCCATCCTGACAAATGTACGCATCCTCCACCATATTTACTTTGAGGAACTGCAATTAATGAACAGATGAAATGAATGTGAATGTGATTCTGACAGTAAACACGGCCTCGAACACGGTCGTGTTGATGCCCACGTTGACCTTTTGACAGCTTCTTGACTTCTCTTGACGAGGTCTTCAACACGGCCACACTGGAACATGGATCTTGTTAGATTTCTTTTATTTTAAATAATATGATTTTATAATTTCTTTTATTTTTAAAATGATATAAATAAAATAAAATAAAATTTTTTAAAATAAAATAAAATTTGGTAAGGATAATATTGTATTTTCAAAACAGCTTTTCACTCCAAATCGGAGCTTCTGGTTTTATGTTATACAAAAGCGCTTTTTGGCTTTTGAAAAATCGAGCTTTTAGAAGTGTTTGGTCCTGCTTCAGCTTTTGAATATGAAAAGCACTTATAAAAGCAGGGCCAAACATAGCCTTGTATATTATTGTATTTATACTACTCTCCTTCGAGGATAAGTATGTCAAAACGAAGACACCACTTAAAAGAGTTACTAATTAGAGCTTGATTTCGGTCGGTTTCAGTTTAACCGATAATCGAAATATAGGTTTTTCGGTTAGCCGATCAAGCCTTTGTGGGCTGTTGACCACCGACTAACAGCCTGCTTCGGTTAACAGTTAAGGCCTCGGTTAATCGACTACCCGAAATAGTTTCTTATTATAATAATTATTTAATTACATGAAAAACAAAAAAAATGAAAAGGGGGATAGGGAGTTGAAAATCACCCGACTCTTCCTTTCTCCACATCTCACATCTTCTATTTATTATGGTAAGTAAACAGTCTCATGCATCTGTAAGTTCTTCAGTCTTCCTCTACTCCTTGATTCTGATTTATTTTCATCATGTTCTTAGGGCTTTGAAACGATAGATTGACGAAGATAACTTGTTGATGGATTGAAATAGGTAAGTGATTCCCGATTCTCTAGCCTCCTGAAAGACGAAAGTGATCTGCTCTATAGATGAATCCGTGGTGTGTTACTGCTGAATCTGGGGTTTGTTCTGTAATGGCAGGTTACATATTACAGCAAGCACGTGTTTCCTTGACTTTGATCAACGAAAATGAGTCCAGGTATTAGGGAAATAGGAGATACCGATCATATACCAACATATGGCGAGTTGGATTTGTGTGTTGCTACTGCACTTTTCATCAATTGATGTAAGGTTTCTTAAAGCTAAATTCGGCTTCATTGTTTTTGTTAGGAATCGATGATGATAAGTTCACCATCGAGCTACATTATAAAGGAGATATTGTGTACATACTAGACGAAGACTTGTGTTATTTCGGCGGGGAAGTTAAGTGGCTGAATTGGATAGATCCAGATTGCTTGTCTTTGTTAGAAATGGATGGATATCTTATTGAGTTTGGCTTCTCGGGAAGTGTCAGGATGTTGGAGGAATATGGAATGAAGAATGGGAGGGCATACTATTGGAGGCTACCAGGAGAACGATTGAAGGAAGGACTATAAGAGCTGAGAAGTGACAAAGAATTATGGAAATGGCTGCCAAGGTTATTCAGGATACCAAATTTGTAGAGATCTACCTGATCAACCAATAAGAATTAACCAAAGCTAGCCTAGCTGAAGTTCAACATGAAATGACAGAGACAATATTCAAATCTAATGAAACTGAAAGTAGCAGGGGAAGGACCAAGTTAGAAGATGATGTGGGCTGCCAAAACAATGTTGATCATGCTGATTACCCTGCAGAGAGTGACCCGAAATCAGGGTTGGATGCTGATTTTGAGGGCAGTGATGAACATATGGAGGGGCAAAGCAACAACGGGGGGTGGCAGTCATGAAACATACATTGATGATGCATTTGATTTCCATTCTGAGGATGATGTATATGATTCACACTACCTAGGCAACATCCATTCAGATGATGAAGAAGAAGTATAGAGGGTTCCAAGTCATCCAAGGTATCCCGAGTTCAATCTAGAGAAGGACATGAGCGATCCCCATTTCTGTCTACACCAAATTTTCATGGATTTTGACACTTACAAGGACGCCGTAAAGAACTACTCCATCAAGAGCAAGCAACCACTAAAGTTTAAACATAGTGACAGTAAAAGTGTCCAAGTTGTTTGTCAATCAGGTTGTCCATGGAACATATGGGGAGCCCCAACTGATGATGGAAGGCAGTTCAGATAAGATCATGTTGTCTATAGCATGAGGGGTGCATCATGATGTTCAATAACAATTTTGGGGATGCTAATTACATAACTCGAAGGTACATGCAGAGGTTTCAGGCTGATCCACAATGGGTGGTTGTCTCAATTGTCCAAAGAGTTGCAGAAGATTATCACTGGAATATTTCAAGGTGAAAAGCATGGAGAATCAGACATCTTGCCATGGATCTATTGAGAGGCAATGCTAAAGAGTAGTATCATAAACTGCAAGACTACTGTGCTCAAGTTGTTAGGACAAGCCCTGGTTCAACTTGTTATGTGGAAACAACTGAGCATTCTAATGTCTTCAAGAGGATATATTGTTGTTTACAACCTTGTAAGCAGGGGGTTGCTTTCTGCAGGAAAGTAGTTCTTCTCGACGGATGTTTTTTGAAGTCAGGCTATGGAGGACAATTACTCTCTGCAGTTAGCCTAGATGGGAACGGGGGGAGTTTTCCTCTAGCATATGTCGCAGTCAAAGTTGAGAATGGAGATAACTGGACCTGGTTCCTAAACCAGCTATGTCTAAACCTAGATATCTTCAAGGATTCAGGAAAATGGATATTTATGTCAGATAAGCAAAAAAGTAAGAATATTTTTATAATGTTTTGTTTTGTTGTAGAGTAATGTGGTATTAAGATGTAATTGTTTTATGATTTTGTTTTGTAGGGTCTGTTGAATGCTCTAGAGACTATTGTTCCACATGCTGAGCACCGATGTTGTGTGAGGCATCTAGTTTCCAATCTGTTTAGGGCACAAAGAGGTAACAAAAAAACCAGAGACTTGTTATGGTCATGTGCTAGAGCTAGTTATGAATCAGAATTTAAGAGGTGCATGAATGAGTTTAAGGGTGATAATGAGAATGCTCATAGGTGGTTTCTTGACAAGCCATTCTCACAATGGACGAGGTCACATTTCCAACCATATTCCAAGTTAGTTGTGCTGACAAACAACATTTGTGAAAGTTGGAATAACTCTCTACTAGGAGCTAGGACCAAACCTATTATAAGCATGCTCGAAACTATTAGGAAAATCTTGATGCACAGGTTTCGTTCTAGGAAGGTAAAAGCTGAGTCGAAATTCAAAGGTCGATTATGTCCTAACATTCAGAGAAGGCTAGACTCAGCTTAGAAAGCTAGCTTCACTTGTAATGCCATTCAGAGTGGTCCACAGAAGTTTCAGGTTTCATGTCCTCAAGGTCAGGTGGTTGTTGATGTCAGTAAGTCCAAGTGCACTTGTAGGATGTGGGAGTTGCCAGGTTTACCCTGCCCTCATGCCATATGCTGCATATGGCAACTCTCAAAAAGGGTAGAGCATTACGTGGATGAGTGCTATGAGGTTAATGCTTACCTTCAGGCTTACTCTGGTGAGGTGGAACCAATGGTTGGGCCAGAGTCTTGGCTGCCAAGTGGGAAGGAACCTGTGTTGCCCCCACCATTGGTTGTAGGTGAATCAAATAAAGGAAGGCGTCAAACCAAAAGGAGAAAGGGCATTGAGGAGACAGCAGACCCTGAAAAAAAGAAACACAAGTTTAGAGATGCAAATGAGAGGGTGAGTAGGAAAGGAAAGGGGGGAACCATTCATTGTAGTGTGTGTAAGCTAGCAAGGCACAACAAGTCATTCCATTCAAAGGGGAAGAAGGGGGAAAACTCAACAACCGAGGTGAGACAAATAGTTTTACGATTGGTTACTTGAGAAAATTTTCAATTCTGATGTTAGTGTTTATGGTTTGTAGGGAAGCACACCACCGACAGGTTCAACTGGTGTTGTATTACAATGGATGCCTGATGTATGGTCCTAATGTTTAACAACCATTATTATGTTCTTTGTAACTTATGAGATTCTTACGAATTGCTTCTGATTTGTAGGGAAGCACTCAAACTCGTCTAATGCATCCCTCAAGTCAAGCTGAAACTACCTCTTTTCCCTCCCAACAAAGCAGCCAAAGCTTCACCTCAGGTTCTCTACCACCTCGACAAAGCAGTCAATCCGAGGGACAAGCATCACGCTTTGCACAAGGTGAGGAGAGGCAAAGCAAACTTCCTGTTAGAGGAAAAGTCAAAGAGGAAAGGGAAGATGTGATCTTCGTAGCCAAACAGGGTGTGGGGTTTAGGTAGTAGGATGCAGTCCTTGTTTTCCTTTGTTTTATGGGCACTTACATGACTATCAGCTACTTTTTTGGGCGTTCTGATTTCAACACAGTTTTGGTGTTCATTATCCATATACAGTCATTGACATCGATCACCAAATATGTAGGTTGATCTATTTGCAGCAGCTTTTAGCATAGTTGTTATGTAGGCTGGTTTTGGGTATAAAACTAAACAGGAAGACTAATCTATTTTGAAGCAGCAGCTAGCCATAGTAACACTTCTGATGGCTTTTACATCATTCAAATCCATTACATCATTCATTCCCTAACACATTATTATCATCCATAACAGGTTTCCTAACTCATTACATAATCCACAACAGGTTCCACTTAATTACTTGTTTCCAAACAGGGAATCCATCCCACTCTTTGCCAAAAGAGCTCCAACCACAATAAAAAAAAAACCTTTGCTGATTTCTCAGACAAATGAGCTGCGATCGTTCCTCCTCTCCACCTCTCGGATTCTCTTGTGCAAGGTAAGAACAAGGCGCTTAATAATATCTTCAAGTGGTGGATCAATCCAACGAAAATAATTACATGCATTTGCACCCTACGAATCAAACATGAGAAGAATCAGATCCATAGTTTACATATTAGAAAGGTTTGACAAAATGAAAGCTAAGGTTTAATCTTTCTAATCTAACCAGCTTACCCTGTAATTGGTGCAACCGAAGAACCATCTTCCGGGGTTGCCATCGGTCCATGAAATCCGAAGAACCGCCAGTACTGTGCATTGGCACATTGGACCTGCAGCCACCATTGTCGACAGACTTGGAGGAAAGAGGAAGTGGGCAGAAATGAATTGAGAGAAGGGTTGCTTTTTATAGCAATTTTGGCACATGGAAGGAAGAAATGAGAGAGTTGCGTGAATATAAAGCATGAGGAAGAGCGGGATAAGGGCAAGCCGCGCAGGAACAAATGAGCGGGAAGGAATTTTGTGTGGCCCGAAGCTGAGTCAGCAAGAGGTGCTGACCTGTCCTTCTTGCGTGTCAGGAAAATTACCTCCACGGTACCTACCGTTACTTCTGTAGATGGAACTGGTAATGTTGCTACCGGAGAACGACGTAAAGGAATTAGTTGCCACTAACTGTGTTTAAGTGATAACCCTACAACAATAACCCACTTAAGTACTTAAGTGACATCCGGTGCAATTAACTCTTTCATTTTCAACTAGCGCAAAACCCGGCCCGTTGGTCGGATGAGGTACGATTGTACATGGGCGCTGGGCCGTGCTTGGGCCGGCACGGCACGGGCACGCTTCGGGCCCATTTATTTTGTGCCGTGCTTGGCACGGCCTGTCAGTTTTCGTGCCGTGCCATGCAAGCCCATTTGTCAACTTTGCTAGGCCCGGCCCTGGCCCGGGCACGGTTCGAATCGTGTCGTGCCTATTCGTGTTCGTGCCATGCTCGTATTCGTGTTTAATGAAAAGGACGAAAACAAAAGAGAGAATGAAAAAGAAGGTGAAAATTGGACGGGGGAAGATAGTATTAACCGATAATGTTTGAGAAAAGTAACAAATAGGGGGGAAAAGAAAATTAAAAGTATAGTGAGTGTGATTTGGCTTTGTTTAATTCTTTGTCTATTTTTACTTATGTTAGTAATTACGTATATATCTGTATGACACTTCTGACAACAACAAATTATTATTTTTCTACTTGTGTTTTGTAATATTTGAACCTATAATTCTTTTTATACTTATTTTCTATCAAATAAATATTATTTTCGTGCCATGTCCGTTCTTATACTCAATAAAGTCTCGAAAATATTAGGCCCGACAGTCCGACACGGCCCACTTATATACCGTGCCGTGCCCGTGCCGTGCTCTAACCGTGCCGTGCCGTGCCGTGCTAGCCCGTGGGCTGCACGGCCCGGTGCCCACGTACAGGTACGATGTATTTCTATTTGTATGAGTTTGACACAGGATGATATAAAGTGACAACCTAGTGCGAATTTGTTTTCAGTTCAAAAGAAGTGTAAATCCAAGACCATGTCTTATTTTAGGTTTATTAGGAATTTTGACAACCACCGAAAATCAGTTGTCGCCCTAATAGCAATTATTTCTATTGCTAATAAAATTATTATTTTTCTATCATAATCATCGTTCATTACTTTTTTGGGTCATACACAATTACTTTTTTGGAGAACGATATCCTCGTGCAAAACTTAGCGAACACATTTTATGAATTTTGATTTTGTTTCATGCTACTTTCCCTTTTTCTTATTTTTATGTCATTTTGGATTTCCGTCATGAAGATCCGTTTGCGATTTTGTGGTTAAATTTATAGGGAAAAAATAAAGAGACAATAGCATTAGAGAATAGAATAGAAGAATATGATAATCCTAATACTCTTCCAAAATATGTTTAGAGTTGAGATTTTTTATAGTTGAAATGTCAAGAAGTGGTGTCAACATTCCTCAATCGAATAATTCAGATGCCAATTATTTTTTGTTGCATTAGAAATTCGTAACATGGCTTTAACGACCAATTCAGCTGCCAAATTTTTTGGTTACGAAATGGTACTAATAACCAATTTTGGGCTTTTAGGGACCAATCATTTTGGTTGCAAAAAGCAGTTTTTCTTGTAGTGTGTCATCACCAAATCCCTGTGTACAAAGTAAATGAAAAATGCTTGGTTCTAAGTAGCACCCATTCACAAATTGACTGGTATAATCCAATTATACTATGAAACATTGATTCTTAGTACTGGATGATCATTAATAGATGATTACTAATATATGAATTACTCAGATTCTCAAGTCTAATATTTGCTTGATGATAAAAATAATGATACAAACATCTACTTGTCATTAAAGATGGTTGGGAGCTTAAACTTGACAAAACAATAAAAAAATAGTCAAAATGGATCTTGTTAGATTGCTATTATATTAAATAATATAATTTTTTATTTTTTTTATTTTTAAAATGATATAAATGAAAGAAATTTCAATTTTCTGAAATAAAATTAAAATATGGTAAGAATAATCTTGTATTTCAAAACAGCTTTTCGCAGAAGCTCCAAATCGGAGCTTCTGCTTTTATGTTATACAAAAGCCCTTTTTGGCTTTTCAAAAGCCGAGTTTTTAGAGGTGTTTGGCCCTATTTTAGCTTTTAAAGCCGAAAAGCACTTCTAAAAACCGGGCCAAACATATGCTATAAGTACTTCGCACTTTTTAGCACATTGAATTGATGTAATCAGTTCGTGAAGCGAGAGAACGAAAGCGTCCAGTTTTCAAATAGTTAAAATCAATAGCATGATGAGAGCGTCATTATTATATTAATATATTAATTTAAAATAATAAAAATATTGATTATTGCAAAGGAAGGAGAATATTGAATGCATGGTTCTTCAAGGCTCAATTGATTGGTATGAAAGAAGAACCCTATTTAAGTTAAGTGTTTGCTACTATATTAGAAGTCACACGTGGATTTAGTGGTGCGTACGTGTGTAGTTAATTTGTGGTTTGACATCGATCCACTCGCAAATAATTCGAACCAAATTGTGTGATCTCTCCTACCCGCACTTATTAGGATCGATGGTGCGTGGATTTAGGGTCACTCAAATGACCTGCAGCATATTTTCACATGACATAAAGTGATTTCTTGCACTATCAAATAGTCATAATATTTCCTAATTGCAATACATACTAACTATCTATTTCTAAAGTAGTATATTAAAGAATATTTGTGGACTACTATTATTGATTACTATGTAGTGTAATTTCTATTGGATATTGGGATCAAATTATAAACTATTATTTGTATCAAAGTCACAAAAATGTATAAGTTTTCTCTACACAATTGGTTGATAGAGTCATAAAAAAAATATGATGTAAAAACTACATGGATCCATAGGAGACAAGTGAGAAGCGTTTAAATTGATATAATCTTACTGAGTTGCAAAACTTATTATAAATGTTATTTAAATTTCTCAATGGCTAGTTGCAGAATTGTTTTTGCGGGTTAACCATAATCTTGTATTCATCTGTCATCCATCCAACCCAAATTGAAAAATAATGTGATTGGACATTTAATAATTATACCAACTCGCTAATAACCGGGTGGATCCAATTAAGACAAAAACCCTCCAACCCGTCTAGGGATGGCAATGGGTCGGGTTGGGCGCGGATAGTACATATCTGTTACCCTACCCATAGTAGTTCGGGTTTTACCCATACTCATACCCACATGTGAAACGGGTAGAAAATCAAAATCATGCCCATACCCGTTCGGGTTTCGGGTATCCACGAGTATCCATGGATAATAATTTCTCTTCATAACTCCAACCAATATGTTAACATTCACATGTATTCTCACATTACGTAAGAGGAAAAATACGACAATAATTCACTAGAATGAAGGAAATTAATTAAAACTACACGATTTCATGAAAATATTATATTTATATGCTAAATATAAAATATGTTAGAGAAAAATAATGATTATTTCTAGACAAAATACATATGCATGTGTATAATCGGGCGGGTTCGGGTTGGATAGTGAGAAACTCATGCCCACCCATTACCCGCAAAATTCGGGTTCAGATTTTGCCCGTATCCACTAAATGTCCTTCGAGTTCGGGTTTTACCCTACCCGATTAGGCCGGATTCGGACGGATATCCACGATTATTCTTTGCCTATGGTCATGACTCATAAGGTGGCCGACATCCACAAAACCCTTAAGTAGCGATAAATTTACCTATGGTCATGAGGTGGCGAATTAATTTCTTAATTCATAAAGGAAGCTATTAATTCACAGGAGATGGTAATTAATTCCCTGGCTCCTCACTGATCCCATTTCCATCTAATGTGAATGGGCCAATTAATTTAGTTTTGTCTAGTTACGTATGCCTGCCGCAGCTGTATAGCCCATTGTTGGCCCAAATTACAGAGATGAAAGGCGGGTTTGTGCTTTGTGGCAGCAGCGAAAGAGAGCAACAACTGAGGGAATCAAAACGCACCGCTACATTAAGTTGAGGGGCAAAATGACCAAATTGCCCTTTCGAAAAGTCCTCAGCGGCCAGCAAATTCAAAATGCTGAAAATCTAACCTATGTTTTGCCTTTATATATTTTGTAGATGGGTAAATTACATGTTTGGTCACTCAAATTACATAAATCTTTCACGTTTGTCACCCGAATTACTTTTCTTTCTTATTCGGCACTAACTTTTTGAATCGTTTCACCGTTAGTCACCGACCGTTAGTCTCCGTCAGACTCCGTTAACTCCGTCAATTTTTTAATGACAAGGCAAATAGAACTGCTGTTTGGACCATTAACTTAATGACATGTAAATTTAAATAATAAAAAATAATTTTGCAACCTGACCGTCCCGGCGAATTGCTCCGGATCCAAGCCGTCGGCGACTGTGTAATCTACTGTGACGGCCCGAGAGTCCTCGAAGTTCTGGCTAGGTCAAGAGCAATCGGTAAGATCTGGAGCCATCGCACCCCCATCGTTCTAATCTTCTTTCCAGCCCAAAATCTTGTTCTAATTCTTTCGTTAATTCAAAATTTCAATTCTTTTTCAAGGGACAACTACTTGAAGCCGTACGTGATTCTTGAGCTGGAGGTGACTACCACGAAACGAACAGGGGACGAGCTATGAGAAGTGTTGTCGAATGACACCGGTTGCGGATTCGTCCTGATGTGCCTCCACGCCCGGAAGCGGGCTTCACCGTCGGCAGAAGGATCTCCGTTAAGTGAGGCTGTCGTGGGAAGCGGCTCCGACTCTGACGCGTCTATCTAATATATAAAGAAGAAAAGAGGCAGGGATCGAGGCCACCACCATCCGCATCGCACTCCTACTTCCATCGCCGCCGTCGCTTCAGTATCGTCGATCCGAGTCGTCTCCAGTGCCGTCTCGAAGAGTGGGATAATCATTAGCCAGGATTTGAAGGATCTTGAGTCTTCACCGCAAAGGTTAGCGCTGGGTAGAATTGAGAAGATGAGGGAATTGGGAAGTTTAATTAAAAGAGGAGAGAGCAGAAGAAAATGGGGTTCTTTGAGATTGAGGAACTGATGAAGGAAGTGGGCAGAGCGGAGCTGGGCGGGCAATGGGAAGATGATTGGAAGACGGAGCGGAGGGATTTGATTATGGATCTGGGTAGGTTTGCCAACCTTTTGATTTGGTTATTAATTTATTTTTATTTTTTATTTCTTTAGAATTGATTTTTCATTAAATTAACAATCCAGTCAGAAGTTCGTTTGCCACATCATCAAAAAAGTGACGAAGTTAACGGAGTCTGACGGAGACTAACGACCAGTGACTAACGGTGAAACGATTCGAAAAGTTAGTGACGAATAAGAAAGAAAAGTAATTCAGGTGGCAAACGTGAAAAATTTATGTAATTTGAGTGACCAAACATGTAATTTAGCCGACATCTTTATTCCACAAAACCCTTAGTAGCGATAAATTTAGGGCATTGCTATTCGTCGCCCTAAAACACCTTATTCGTCGCCCTAATTTTTATTAAAATGACTCAAATATCCTTAGTTTAATTTCTATCTTTCAAAACATATATAAACACTAAAACAAGCGGCGGCGGTAGCAGAAGAATCTGGTAGCCTTTCAGGCGCCCTAAAATGCAAGGAAGAAGAGACCTTTCAAGTGGACAGACTTCACCTCTCAAGCTTCTGGGGACTCTTCCTCATCTGTGGCTTGGCTTGCCTGCTAGCTCTCTTTGTATATTTCCTCAATATTGTCCGACAGTTTAGCCGCCATCAGCAGGCTCCGGATTCTTCTGCTGCACCCCATATTTTCATCCGCAATATTAATTAGTTCATCGGAAAAATAATAATAGATCAAATCCATTTCACGCAAACTGATAATCCCGATCCGCAACATTAACTAGTTCATCGGAAAAATAATGATAGATCAAATTCATTTCACAGCCGTGTCCGGGTTGAGGTCGGCGGCGATTGGGTAGGTTAAGGGATTGTCTGTTTAGAGTTTTGGTTAGAGATTGGGGTAAGAGGGTAAGATTGTCAATTTGGTGCATTTTAGGGCGATAAAATTTGAATTTTAGGGCGACGAATAGCGATTCAGTAAATTTACCTATGGTCATGAGGTGGCCAATTAATTTCTTAATTCATAAAGGAAGCTATTAATTCACAGGAGATGGTAATTAATTCCCCGACTCCTCACTGATCCCATTTCCATCTAATGTGAATGAGCCAATTAATTTGGTTTTGTCTAGTTACGTATGCCTGCCGCAGCTGTATAGCCCATTGTTGGCCCAAATTACAGAGATGAAAGGCGGGTTTGTGCTTTGTGGCAGCAGCAGCGAAAGAGAGCAACAACTGAGGAAATCAAAACGCACCGCTACATTAAGTTGAGGGGCAAAATGACCAAATTGCCCTTTCAAAAACTTCTCAGCGGCCAACAAATTCAAAATGCTGAAAATCTAACCTATGTTTTGCCTTTATATATTTTGTAGATAGATGTCAATTGTTGTAGGAAAGGCTGGAGGTGGTTTTGTTAGCCAAGGCTATACGGCGACGTATCTGCTTGCTCAATCTTCTCAAACTCAAACATCCGATTTCGAGTGTTTCTGTTTTGACTTTTGAGTTTTCCCTCTCATACACTCTCCACTCCACTCTCTATTCTTCTCCAGTCTCCGCTCCTCCTCTTCACTAAAAAATCCACAGCTTCCTCCGCCAGAATCCAAGTCCGGAAACCGGCGGCGTCCTCACAATCGAGCTCTAACCCCCTCGGGAGCTTGGATCAGTCGACCTTAATTCTTTCAGCTTCTAGGCTTTAGCTTCGGGGAGCAGGAGCAAAGATATAAACCCTAACTCGGTCATAACCGGCTCACCTTCTTCCAGCTGCTGGGCATTTCCAGGAACGATGGCGGATTTACTTGGGGGAACCAATCTGGACAAGTTAAAGTCGTTTAGTGACGATCTGGTGGCGGTGTTGAAGAAGCAAACCAGCATTCATTTCTTGGCCCAATGTCTTGACGAGTCGAAAGCTCTTCACACCTTTTCTGAGGCGGAATTCGACGAGGTCGACACCCAGCTCGAAGGTCCCCCCTTTTCTCCATCTAGTATCTGCCTCTGAATTTTGAACTCTTGGTTTGCTCTGCTATGCATTTCCCGATTTATGATTGTCAATAGGAGCTCTTTTCAGTATGTTTCCCATGACTTTTTGTTCCGCTGGGTGGAAATCTAGGGAATTATGTATGTTTCGGAGTCTTGAGTCTGAGTTGACTCTGGAATCAATTTTGTGTTGACCCGACGAAGCCACTGTCTTTTGTTCAGATTACGAGAGAAAGATAGAGGAATGCAAGCGGAAGACTCAAAAGGCAAAACTGGAAGTGCGTGATGAAGCAGAGATAGACCTTATACAGAAGGAGTTGGAAGCTGAGCTCGAAAAGGAACGTGCTTTACGAGAGGATCTCAGATAAGGGCATCTGTATATATTATGAAATCGATGGTTTGAGTTTATGAAATGTTGGTTCCCTTCCATTGATTGGTTTTGTTTCTTATTCTGTCAAACACAGTGATCAACAATCAGATCAGTGATCTAGAGCAGCGAAGGGGCTCCGTTGACGAGCAAATTCAATTGAGAAAGAAACTGGATCGAGAAGAGTCGAGGGCACAGTGAGTAGTAGATAAACCTCCTATGATGTCATCTGTGGAAAATATAATCTTTGGATTTTGTTGATCTCTTTGCCCAACAGGAAGTGAAGCATACTTTGGTTTGACATTTACAGGAAGAAGCTTTCGATGTATGCTTCTGTGACGAATATCATTCCTGACTTGGGCGATCGTTCCAAAATCTCAGGCCGTATCCTTGTCTAAGCCAATCATATATGGTTTTGTTTCTCTTTTTTTTCCCCCCTACAAAGACGTTTCTGATATGTTTTGTAGCATGCTTGCTTGGGGTTTCTTAATTCCAGCTTTAGATATAGTAGACCGGGATAAGAGGATGGTTGAGAAGTTTGAGTTCAACCCAGCAGAATCAACTCCATTTGAAACATGTGAGAGCATTTGGAAGTTGATAAATCACCGATAGGCATTCAAACATCCATCGGTTCCTTCAGAGCTCTCTGATCTGTTTCCTGCTGATCTGGTTCCATGGAGATACTGTGTGTGTGTGTGTGTGTTACTAACACCTTTTCTGTACCATACGTTATTGTTGTTATTAGTTCGAAAGGACCAATGACCATGAAATCTACAATTCTTAACATATGTGTAATATCCCAGGGTGCTTCCCTGCTCTCCTCTTTCCATCCACCTCTTGCTCTGCTGATCAGTGATTTCTGGAAAAGCGTCCTCTCTGTGTCTCTTTCTATAATGTCAGTGTTATTTTTGAAGTACGACGCAGTAAAGATTTACCTAGGGTTTGTATTTTGTACTTGTAGAAGACAGTATAAGAATGTGTGTGATATCATGTATTCTGCAAATACATGGTTTTTCTACCAGATTCATACCAGAAAACAATAGATTGATAGAAACTCACAGGTAACAATCCTGACTGGTTGTTGCATAACTTCTAATCCATCTAGTTTAGTAATCTCAACCCACTACTGATATCTCCTAGTTCACAAGGTTGTTACTTTTCTGGACTGATAGGAAACATCACAAGGCTAAGCAAAATTCTATTTTCAGCATTATGCTCTGTAGCACATCTGTTCCTCATTACTACTCTTCTCGATGTCGTGACTACTCTTCCTGCAAGCACTGGGCAGTGACTTGCCTTTGTACGCGTTGCAGACATATGACACAAACTTCTTGTACTCCTGCACCACCCAGTTTCGAGTAAGTAACGGCAACTCAACAGCATCAGAAAACTTGAGGAATTTCTGAGATATGGCTAACCTGAGCCAGAGGGATGCCGTTGACAGTGACCCAGGGTACACCTCGAAGTGGCGGCTTCAGATGGGTAGTGTCGTAGCCATACTTCAGCAGCAGCTTCAGACCCACAAGTCCAAACTCAGGTTAGTTATACATTGAAGTTTTTTTACGAGTTCAAAAAGGAGTTGCACATTTTTTTTCTTCACACAAACACTGCGTGTTTCACCTTTTCCCCCATCCCGCTATTGGAGCAATGCTCGATGGGTGATTTTGGAAACCGCAACTTGTCGACACAATAAGTCCATACAGCTGATGGATTACTACTCATATTATTAGCTGCTTGTTGCTCTTCTTCTTCTTCAGTGCACTCGATGATGTCGAACATGTAAGGTTGCCTCTGCAGCAGCAGCCATCAAACCTTAGCTGGGCATACCATTCTCATGTTCCCCAAAGAAAGAAAGAAAAGTAAGTGGATTCAGGAGGGGTTATTTACCGCGACGGCAATTATGCAGGCGTGTATTCTGTTGAGCAAGCATTCATCTTCACCGTGTTGGCAAACGATTGTGGAGCCAATGCTGTAGGCATTGCCCCAAGGGACGAGCTTGAGATTGACGATGTTGACGAGATCGGAACCCATGGCTTCGGCTAGAGGATGAATGATGAAGTCGCGGCAGTAGGGGCAACCTGTTTCGTAATACAGGGTCAAGTTCACCTTGTCCGACTCGTAAGAATAAGATTGAGGTGGAGAGAGGAGTAGCAGAGACAAGAGGAGAAGGAGCAATGGGAGGAATGGTGGGGAAGCCATTGCCTGTTGGGTTTTTTTCTCTTCTTGGGGTCTGTCTTCAATAGAGAGATGAATCGAACTAGAAAGCGTGAGGGATAATATGGCAAGGGGGTTGACAGAGAGAAAATGCAGTGTGAGTAGTTGATGAATGATAATGATGATGATCTGCTACTGGTACCGGCTTTAAATGTGGTAGTTGTCGAGCGAACAATCCTACAGATCTCTGTTATTACTACATCGCAAACAATTTGTTTGTTGCTTTTGTTGCTCACAGTTGCACTTTTTGTATGTGAAAATATAGAGCACGAGGCTTTCATTTTTAAATTTTCGAGAAATAGCACGAGGCATAAATAAATTGATGTAAGATTAGAGTGGCATATTCAGTCATGAATTTATGGTGGGTGGGAAACCTGTGGAATGATTTGAAATATAGCTTCACCTAAATCTCAGTTTTGACTTCCGGATTAAATAAGACGCAACTGATTTTTGGGTGGGCAACAATTTGATTCATGCTAAATATATTGAATTCGCTTTTAATCTTATGAATTCTGTAAAGATAGACAAAAAGTGGAACCATCTGTAGGGCTGTTAATCGGTCTCCGGTTTGTCGGTTACCACCGAAACCGAACCGAAATCGTCGGTTTATTGACCAACCGAAAACCGTCGGTTTATTGCGGTTTGCGGTTGCGGTTGGGCGAATCTGGCCAGTGGGCAATTGTCGCGGTTAGCGGTTAAAAACCGCAACCGCACAAATTAACCGCACAAAACCGACGAAACCGACGCCCCAGACAGACAGCCTCTCGCCCTCTCGTTCCCTCCTCCCCTGCCCTAAATCCTAATGACCTAAAATCCTAAATCGCAAAATCCTGCCTCTCCCCAGTCCCCTCTCACACCCGCCGCCATCCTTATCCCTCCACTCTCCTCAACCCCTCACATCCAGCCTCGACCCTCCTTCTTTCTCAACCCATCATCGCCCTCCATGGCACCTCCAATTTCCATTCCCACAAGTGGCCACAATCGAACCCTAATTTCCCCTCATCCTCCCAACTTCCCCAGGCTCTCGCTCCCACCTCTTCATTCTCGACCTGGCCGCCCGTCTCCCCCTCCCAACTCGACCTCGCCGCGAGCTTCACCGCCCACATCCCTTTGCCGTCCCGACCTCGCCGTCCTCACAATCTCGATCTCGTCAGCCGTCGACCTCACTCCTCACAATCGTTTGCTGCCAACCTAGGCAAAATTGTCTCATGGAAGTTGTGCATGTGTTGATTTTTTGTTTTGATTTGGTGAGGGGAGAGGGTAGTAGAGAGGTAGAGATTGGAATTTGTCAATGGAATTGGAGAGGGTAGAGCGGTAGAGAGAGAATTAACTTTTGGAGAAAGGGAAAGGTAGCAGGAAAGGAGAAGGATCGAGAATGGGGCTTGGGGTGGGCAAAATTAATATTTTATTTTCTTTTTCTTCTTTTTTTTTTGCATTTATTGCGGTTAAATGTTAACCGTTAAACCGAACCGACCCTCTCGGTTGGCGGTTGCGGTTAACCGAGTGAGCAATCGGTTGCGGTTGCGGTTGGCTGTTCTGACCCCTTATCGGTGTCGGCTAACCGCTCGGTCGGTTCGGTTAAACCGCAACCGAACCGATTATCACCCCTAACCATCTGTCATTCAAACTAAGAATGATAAAAAAAAATAAAAACTCATAATTTAAGTACCGTCCAGACCCAATTTATTATGGACAAATGAAGTTTGGATAAACTTATATTTGGGCATACCCAACTTTTTATTTTGGATCTAAATCAGATTCATTATATTGGGCACCCAAATGAAAATGGATACTCAACATTCTTTTGACGAAACAGATACTTGTATTACCAAGAAAAACAAAGTTACAATAACTCGACCTCCGAACACAACCACACCCGGAAATCAAAACCATTCCCCCTTAGGAAACAAATCCAAAGCTTTTTTGGCCACCACATGGTCATCCTATTGTTCTGTCTACCTGCGAACTGACGCAGAAATCCAAATGATAACCGAGGAGCCGACGGATTTCTTGAAAACTAGCTCCAGCCTTCAGATCCCTAGTGACTCCGGCATTTATCTTGTCAATCAAAATGGATACTCCCTCTAACGTGATTTTTGTATTTTTTTTTGTTCTAAAACAAACATAAATATGGTAATATCAACATTGAAGGGTTGGGTGCATAATCCGGGTTTTGCACTTATACATAACTAAATTTTGCCTCTTGATTTTAAGTGGAGTCAGATATAAGGTGCGAGATTAAAAGACCTTTTATTTTCACCATTTTTTAATTGATTTCTACTTTCTTTGCTTTAACTTGGATTTTAAAAAAATTTGGCAGATGTAATGAGTTTGTTGTGGTCTACAAAATGATATTTATTTTTAATATATTTTGAGAAAAAAACATTTCATAGCACAGGTTACTTCACTAAAAACACTTTGTATTACCTACATTTTTAACTCAAATTTTGAAAAAATTTGCACAAAAGGAACGAGTTCGTCATGATATTTGCGATCTACAAATTTTAGAGGCATAAAATTTCAAGACCAAATATAGAACCTTACACCACCCTGTTATATAGTGTGGTAACTAGTGGTAGATGGTGATTAAAGATGGTAAGTGTATATTAGTATATTACTACGATAATGTATATTATTCTTCACCATGATATATCCATACTATCATGGTACACTTCCATACCACCATTGTGTATAATATTACGTACTACCAAGTATTACCACCATTATAGAATGGTAATATATGTCTCAATCTTTTTTTGTTCAAAAATATATAAAAATGAATGTCATTTTGCAGAGCATGATTAATCTAATTTTCCAATGCAAAAAGGATTGGATTACAACTTAAAATGAAAGAGATATAACCCGTTAAAATTAATTGTGGGAAAAGTTATATATGTCACAAGGACTATTAATGGGTTATTGATTCGAGCCATTTTATACACGTTTAACCCCATTTACTTAGTTGTTTGGCATGCTTCGCATTGTCCTTTTAGCCATTTTATGCTAGTTTTGGTCTTGTATTGACATGTTTCACACTTGAGCAGGTACAATGGGCTAAAGGATCGAAAGTCGCATGAAAGGGACCGAAAAGGGGAAAACGATGGAAGATACACAGATCATGGTCTGGAGGAGATCATGGGCAGAGACCGTGACGTTAGCGGAGAAACCGTGACCTATGCAAAGTTTGAGGAGCTTCTGACGTTCGCGGGCAGCGCAAGGATCACGGTCGCAGACCGTGAAGTTTGCACAAAAATGGCGCACTTTCATCCTAGATCATGGTCTGCCTATTGATGTCACGACCGTGAAGTCTGACCATGACACGTGCACTCGAGGCTATAAATAGCCAGTTGGGGGAAGAAGAAAGGGAGCTTGGTTTTCCTTAGGGTTCTGACCCAAAATACCAAAGAAACATTTCTAGAGAGAGGGGGGATCTAGAGTGATCTCAGAGCTGAATTGGAGGCTCTGATTGAGATTGGAGTTTAGGAATCAATCCTAGAAGATGAAGATCTTGCGCTTCTTGTTGTATTTTCTCTTCTTTCTATGACTTAGCTCTCTTCTATTAGGTTGATGAATCCTAGGTATAGATTTTGATTTGATTGTTGATGTATGTGACATATCCTGTGATTATGAACTCTTATTATCTATTTGATTGATGTTTATGATGAATTGCATGAGTATTGATCCCACTACATGTCAAATGAGTTTTTGATCTAGGAGGGAGAATATCCCCTAATGTTGAATATAGCACCTTCAATCCTTCACTATGGGTCTTTGATAAGAAAGTAATAAGTTACATCTATAAGGTTAGTCTTAATCACTATTCTTGCCTAAGTGAGCTCTCAGACTTGTAATTAGCTAGACTAGTGGTTATGTAAGTGTATTTAGGTTAGTCTTAATCACTATTTTTGTTTGGCTAGATAACATACTCAAGTCGAAGTAAGATACATCTAAAGACCCGTGTTTCAAAATTTTATTAGGGTTAATATATTTGTCTGGTCCGAACTTTTCCCATATTTAACATTATGGCCAATACTTTTGGTATTTAACACCGTGACCCAAACTAATTCTGCACTTTACTAATTTGGCCAAACTCGAGAGTCGACGTTAACTTTGATGGTGAAGACCGTTGACTAGCGTCAACCCGCCATGTCATTTCCCAGTCATCATATATAAACTTAAAAATTTCTAAATTCCATATATTCCATAATTTTAAATTATTATAATTAAGATAAATAAATTATTTCTATAATGCCTATTAGTTACCATTTAAATGAAAAATGAATCCAATGCTCCTTCTCTCTCTACTTCATTTTTTTTACCCCGAAAGCGCCCAAAATTCAGGAACAGATCAGGTCAATAAACTTATGGTGAGTAACTATGAGTAATCCGTTCACATCAGCATGACATCAGCATCCTTCTCTATCTTGGAAAGTCTTTAATTTTCTCCTCCTTAATCTTTGACGGAAGATTTCTCGCTCATTTTAAGTCGATTTTTTTTTTGCACAGTTAGATCAGATTAATTGTGCTCTTCAAAATGATATCCACTTTGATATATTTTTCGAACAAAAAAATTGAGCCATTTTTTACCAGTCTATACCATATGATATTGACTGATATTGAAATAAGAGCATACCTATGGTTTGAAAAGCGTACCATGGTGGTATGAACAAACCAAGACTATAGGAAGGTTGAATACATGATAGTAGAAGTATATTAACTGTCATTTATGACTTTTAACATTGCGTACCACAAGATACCACCTCGTACTAGGGTGGTATTATGTGGTATTGTGTAGTATTTTTTGGTTCTGTAATTTGTTCACCCAGAAATTTGTAGATCCAATAGATCATGATGAACTCGTTCCTTCTGTGCAAACGTTTTCAAAAACGATTAAAACGAAGAAGATATCATATGTTATGCAGTTCGTACCAAAAGGCAATAATTTTTTTTTCTAAAAAAATATTAAAAATAGATATCATTTTATAGAGCACAACGAACTCGTTCCATCTGTGCAAAAAAAATTCAAATCCGAGTTAAAACGAAGAAGATATGAGCCGATTAAAAAAGCTAATGAAAATAAAAATGACATTTAATTCTCCATCCTTAGATCTGGATTTTCTAAATAAATGGTTCAGATTTAGTTATTGATGGGTGCATAACCCCATGGTTATGCACCCATCAATAACCAAA